CACCACTTGGAGCAAACCCTAGCCTCCTTTCTTCTTTGGTTCGTTCTTTCTCTCTCTAAAATCTGAAGAAAAGACATTTTCTCACTCTTAGCTCCCCCTTTCTCCCTTCCTTTCAGCTCATATTATATACCAGGATAGGGCTCAGTTCACGGCCTGTGTTCACGGCCGTGAACTCTTCAACGCATTCGTGAGCACAGACCACGATATCGAAACACACCGCTTCGCCATCAGGAGTTCACGGTTTGGCCTCAATCTTCACGGACTTGTTGACCGTGAACTCGTCCCGCGGTAGTAACTGCAGATTTCTCCCTGGATGCATCGCGGTTCACGGTTTTGGGTTTCAGTTCACGGCCATAGTGGACCGTGAACTCTGCCTGGATCACCCTCTTTGCCCGGTTTTTGCCTCTTTTCGTCCAACTTTCGACGCCAAGGCTGGTTTCACCTATTGGATCCTGAAACACACAAAACCTAGCGTAAAACCACCCTTTCAGGAGTCCAAATGCTACAAACGCCCAAGGAAAAGGGGATAAAATTTGTGCAATTAGGCCCGAATCAAAAGGCAAGGATAAAGTTTCCGACACCCTTTGTTTGCATTGCCACTCAACATGGATAAAGGAAAATGAGTTAAATGAATCCCTTACGCAAGTGCTAAGGGGAAAAAATTTCTCTTGTTCGATCAAGGATACAAAGACAACATGTAATGTACCTACACGCACAAAACCTCTAAAATTGTAAATGGCGGAGATATACCTACACGCATAAATCTAACTACAATGCTTCGACCCAAAATTTCTAACAAGACTAGAAAGAGAAGGAACAGAAGGAACTTACGATCTGTAAGGATAAAGATGTTTATCCCTACGAGACTTACGCTTCATGCACATGGTATAGTCACTAAGTTTGAGGGTTGACCTTGTAAGCTACTTATGACCAACTTCCTATGATTGAAAGTCACGTGTTATTGTGAAGATCTAGTGAGTTGTATGATTATGAGTAAGGTTTGCTTAGGGACAAGCAAAATTCTAGTATGGGGTTATTTTAACCCCATATTATGACCCATTCTTCATTGTTTTCATGCTTTTAACGTCATGATATCTTGAATTTGCTTCATAATGGCTCAAAGTGCATTCTAGTAGCACTAAACTTGATTCTATCAATTTGATGCAATCTTGGTAATGTTTCATGTGTTTTCAGGACATAGCAACCTAGTGCACCATTTTGGATTGATGAAGGGACATAAGGACTCGATTGCTAAGAGCTACATGCGAGAAATGTCGAGAAAACTAAAATGGCTCATGAAACGGCATGCCGAGTGCCATTTTCAGAATCAACCCGAAGCTGTCAAATTCTTCCAGGAATATACCTTTCGTGATGGCAAAGTTGAAAGAGATGGATGGAAAACCAAAGACATGTCGTTTGACTATCCACTCTTCCCCAAAACCCAAATAGAGGTTCTATAAATAGTTTCGGAGGGGAAGAGTTTGGTAGCTAGTGATACGAGGCATTTAGGTTCTTTAATAAAATTGACCACTTAACAAAATATGTGTTAGTGGATTGGTGGATGATCAATCCATGAATTCTATAAATCAAATAAATATGGGTTCAATTTCAATATAATTGAATTGGATTTGTATCTATATTAAATGGATTGAATGATATTGAATTATGGATTTGGATCACTTAATTACTACCGAGGCGGCAGAGACGGAGAATAATTCTGCACTCCTGAAACCCTAGCTGCCTGCTAATATATCACTAGCTAGTTAGGTTTACTCATTGAAGATATTTTATTTGTTAGTCTCCAAGAACGACTCTTTATATAAATAATAATAATCGATCGACTTGAAGTAGTAAAAGGGAAACAAAGAGAACCCAGTATCATTTAGGAGTGTGGTTTCCGATCGAGATCGAGGAGGACTAAAGATCGATCTCTCCGCCTCCGCTTTCCATCAGCCAGCTGGTAAGCCGCTCGCCTTAATTTTTCTCCATCGCTCTACAGCTTTTACTTCACGGCCGGCCGCTCTTCTCACCACGTATACTTTTAAATTTTAAAACACGATTTTGACTAACGAGGATACTTTCATGTTGTTTCGTGAATATCAATTTTGAGCGTCCGTTGTCTGACCCTGGAGATAATATGGTATAAACATGTGATGATGATGATGTGAAGCCCATATGTATGATAGTCTGGTTAGAGTAGACACAATGATGTGCTGTATAACAGTTGACAATGGAGAAGCATCCAGTACATGCACTACTTGACTCTCTTCTCTTGGGTGTTGGCATCAGTGGAGATGGCGACAGTTGCGAAAGGTCAGGCGGTGATGAGGAAGGAGACTAACAAATTCACGTGGAAGATTGAAAAATTCTCGGAGCTGAAACAAGCCACTTATTCCGACGCTTTCTCATCTGGCGCCCAACAATGGTTCGTAATTGCTGCTTAAACCGTATAAAAATCATTATTATTGTAGCCTAAAATACGAAACCCTCCTTTGTACTCTAATAATGTTGAATGGAATCCCTGATATGATCTGCAGGAAGGTTTGCGTTTTTCCAAAAGGGAACAATGTCGTCGACAAGATGTCTGCATATCTCCACCATGTCGGCAGTCATCAAAAGATGGCCGACGGATGGAGTGTGCTCGCTAATTTCACCTTGGCTGTTTTCAGCAAGATTAACCCTGTCAAAATGAGTACCCACCCGCCAGCCCGCCCTTTCTCCACATCCTTTCAATGACCTAAATATATTTAGTTGTGTATTTAATGAACTCACTTTTTGGTTGCATTCAATTCAATGCACTCGCCTCATCAAAATTAATAATTAACCTCGCTGCAGCTGCGGAGCACGTTTTCAAAAAAGACCAACCGTCATGGGGATGGCACTATTTTGTTTCAACGGCCGACCTTCAAGATCCTCTGAATGGCTTTCTCGTTAATGACACACTCACTATTGAAGTTGAACTTACTACCGTTAGTCGTCAAACGAATCCAATCGACTCCATTCCCCTTTCATTTCTCCTTTCCTTGTTGTTATGTATGTTGATGTACTTTCATTATTATCCTCGTTGCAGGAAGTGGCAGCATCATCAGAAGCTGTTGCTTATGCTAAACCGAAAGTGATCAAGACCAACGATCAACCTCAAGCAGCTGCAATCAAAGCATCGTCCACCACGCCGCTTTCCAAGCATAACAGCAAGGTAAATAATCACACTACAACAACAACAACAGCAAAACATGGCTATTGAAGCAAATAATTAGAGGCAATTATAGTAACAGTCTCGAATCTCGATAGCTATGCTTTGGCAACAAATATATCATTTGTCTCCCTCTAATCATATCATTTGTCTCTATTTCATAGTATTTCTTTATAAGGTTATGTGTTATGGGTTTTAGTTTAGCGATATATATTTCTGTAAGGACGTAATTTAATTGGTACCTTTAGATTATGTGTCCCATAATGAGTACATATGATGGGATGACAATATTTATAAAATTACCACCGCGTTCTTTCAAAAACGCTAAGCGAATTATATCGTGCCACGATCGGAGTGAGCTCCCATTTTTTGTAGCTCCCTATACATTGTGTGATTGCTTTATTTTGCCCTTTGGTGTTTTCAGGTTGCGATCAGCACTCCTGCTAAGAATCAAACTGTAGCAACCACCACATCCGTAGTCTCTCCATCAAGTGTGCAATCAACCTCCAAGACCCTAATAGCAAAACTAGCGTCAGTGACTAGCAGTAGCGTCGGTCACGGCAGCTACACATCAGACCCAGATCACGGTTCAGAACTGCTGCCACAGCAGTGGGAGAAACTCGACCGATTCCTCGACATGACGCTCGAGGCCATCTCCCGAGCCAAATCGCTCGACGAGGTCGAGGACGCGGCCACCAAAATCGCCGCGCACGCTACCGATCCGGTGGAGAAGACGGTGCTGCAAGAGGTGCTCGCTCGCCTGGCCGAATTCAAAGAGATGGTCCCGTGCTCTCTGTCCGCCGTCGAAACTAGCCATGCCGTCGAATCGTCCGGTGCGGAAATGACTCGAGCCGCGGAGGTGAGGCTGGTTCACAGGAAGAAGCAGCTGAGCGCTCTGGAGGCGGAGGTGTCGAGGCTTCAGGATGAGGACTTGAAGCTGGAGAGTGAGATTAAGCAACTGGCTGATCGTAAGGCGAAGGTTGTGGATCACATGAAGTCGACTGCAGCGGAACTGGACAGGGCGAATCGAGAGGCTTCCAAGGAGCTGGATGAGTTCGAGAAGCAGCATGACGAGATCAAGGAGGCGGTTGAGAATCGGATGAGAGCCATGGAGAGGCTGGCGCAAGGCAACGCCAGCTGGAAGCTTTTCAAGAAGAACTTGCGACGCTGATGTCAGTGGACAGTGGTAGTCGTAGTCTCTTGCCCTTGCTCTTCTTAAAAGGGATGGAAGTAGCTGTTGCCTGTTAGATGCTATATTTTATTTTCTTAGTTTATTATGGTGGTTGACAATACTTTTGGTCTTTTGGGATATTATATTTTGGTTTATTTTGCTGAACTTTTACCAATATAATAATTATTGCAATTGGATGGGGAAGGATTGCAAAAAATATTAATTTTGTGCCCATTTTATTTCTATAATATAATATCTACAAAAATACATGAAGGTTTTTTTTGTGATAGATAGGGATGGCAATGGGGCGTGTTTGTCTAAACCATTCTCACACTACAAGGTATATTGCCTACGGCAGGGGTTTTCTTGGGCTTTAGCAACGATTAAAACCCACGCTAGAAATCCCGCCAGCGGATTTCCCAACCCTTGCAAAACCGCCGCAAATCCGAGTGCTGCAAAGTTACGCCTGCGGTCATCTAAACCCCTGGTGTATGTCCATGCAGGGGTCTTGCATTTGTTCTTAACCCCTGACATTTCCCATGCTAAAATCGCTGAAAAAAATTTTGACGACGAATTTGGCGACGATTCTGAAAAGCGTCGCTAAAAGTTGAGAGTGAATTTTCGGCAAATATTTACGTTTCTTATTAGCTGGAAGGTAGATACTTTATATTAACCATACATTAAAATTCAAATAATTAAGTTCCATTCCAGGTTACATATTACTTATAAAACAAATTAACAGAAGGAAATCCAACAAAAGGTATTTGCTTGACATTTTACAACTCACAATTCACAATAAAATCAAGATTATCATACTTGAACATAGATAAGTTCCAGCAAGATCCACAGTGTAAAAATTCCTTTCCTTCTAAATCACCCCACATCATTTAATGCACTGTATGCCCTCTTAACCTGTTACAAAACCAACCAAAATCAATATAAGTCACGTCTTGAACGCAAACGTAGATGACCTTTATTAGAGTCTTGTACGATAGCTTAATGTGATTAGAGCTACACACCCTAATTCTACAAGAAGTGTCTTACCAACCACATTGCCATACAAACACCAACTTTCCCAATCTCTATGATTTGATATGTCCAAATTTCTTTTAAGTTGAAATGGGAAATGAATTTCACTTGGTTCCATTCATTATTCTCCATGGTAAGTGTAAGAAGACTATACCTGAGGCTGGGTGCATGTGCTGGAACTAGCACCTGTGAATTACATAACACCTCAAGAGAACATTTTGCAGCAAGTGCAAGAATTTGTTAGGTTAATTTATCGATCCTTTCTTATTACAATAATATAATTGAAACAATTGACTACTTAAAGCATAAGTTGTATCCACGTTTTACTTAGCAATTTAGCAAGAATCACATACCCGTTGTGTATTTGACCGCCACAGTTTATCCACATCCCCTGTTGTTGTTTTCTGTTCCCGTTTGAGTATATACTTGACAGTTCTTTGTTAAGATATCCTGCAAGGGAATATGATTCATACATAGGTAGCCCAGAAACAGGAACAAATGATCACAAGTAGCAACCTTAGACTTTGATGAAACCAAATCCTGCTTATTAAAATGAAACCCAATTAATCAAATCACTGAACCCACTAGACCCTCTGCTGTGTTATCTACGAAAGTTCCCAAACGCTTAATTACAATTTAAGTGCTACACTCAATATCTTCTTGCATGGGCAACAGCAACACAACTATACTAAAACGACTCTTTGCTATAAGGATGGTGAGGGGTTCCTTACTCTGCCTCCTTGTAAGTCCCTGAAGTATTGACAAAGTCTACATGGCTTGAATCGAGCTATATCATCAGGAAGCATTCCTGCAATAGCTTTAACTTGGGGATTTGGATCTGGGAAATACTAGTACACCTGATAAACAAGGTAATTTGCAGGGGAAGGGATGTCATCAACATAAACTGCTTCATATGAAAAAAGACCAATTAGCAAGACATCCCTAGAAGAGTTAATTGAATCAATCCAATATTTGCACAATATCACTATGCAAGTAGATACCATATGAGATCCGGCAGGCAGTTCTCTAACGTAAACCAGATAAGATAAAAAGCAATAAACATAAACTGAATGAAGGAAACACTTCTCTCACTTAAACTTGAAGGTTATGAGTTACCAAACAGAAACTAAGTACAAAACACCCACAAAAATCACAATACCAAAGAACACCTAAACCTGCAGTTATGTGATTATGTCTCATTATTATCAATCAAGGTAAACAAAATGAAAGGAACTATCCTAATTACTGGAGAATACAGACAGAACTATCCTTAGCCCTCTACTATTCTACACCATCTACACGAACTATACTTCCCTTCTTACTAGTGATCAACCAACTACCACACTTATTGAACACAAATACCAACCAAATTAAAAAAACAAAGAAGTCGATGAAAGGAACAACTAACCAAGTTCACCGGAAAAGAAAACTGCCATGTCTTATATGTCACTGCGTCCAACCCAGGAGTTTTGATACCACATCGGCCTTTTTCTGGATATTTGCAGTCTACAACAGAAATGAACTAGTGATTGAGTGCAAAAGACCAGATTTAAGTTCTTCAATATATTTCTCATCTCTCTCGTGTTTCCTAGATTTAAGTTATTCCCTCTTGGGCTCTCACAATCAAGTTCGTGGAGTTGGTGATTGCAAATAAACTTGGTGGCCATGCTCTGAATGTTAAAATTTGTAATGAAAAACAATCGATCAAATGATATGGTAATATTTTAAGGAGTGCCTGAACTGTAATTTGCATTCACAGAGTTTAGGACATATACACAAGACAAAAAAAAAAGATGTATATGATACCTTTCAATGACGACAGTCTTTGATCAAGAGAGCTGCAATTTAGGAAGCAAAAGTCAATTTAGGTACAACTAATGGAAGTGCATGATATATTGGGTTAGATAGCATGGTAAGGAAAAAATTGCAGCATAGGAGAAGAAGATCATTGCACAATTTAACACTCCAAATATAGTATAGTTAGCATGGGAGAAGAAGATCGTTGCACAATCAGCAGCTAGCTGCTGCAGCACATATAGTAGAAAGCAGAAATAAAACACACGGTGACCTTGGCTTTCGAAACCACATCATAACCTTTTCCCTTACTAGCAAATGAACGCTTGTGACTGATCTTTCTGTATCAATAAACAAAAAAATTGAAGTCATCAAGTACGCGTCTTTAGAGCCAATTGCTAAAGAAAATCAGAAGCAAGCAGATGATGCAAGAACTCACCGACGACAATGCCGACATTGAACAAGAAACCAATTAGGAAAGGAAGAGAGCATACGCACGCAGACAAGCATTCAATTAGGAAAGGAATCAATCAATCACCTAAATTGATCACTAGTGCCCTTTTACTCTGTGCTAGCTGCCTTCCCCCAACTACTGCATGCTCACTCGAACTCTTTCCTTCTTCTAATACATGAAAAAATGAGAATGAAGAGTCATGGGGGAATTCAGAGGAAGGGTCGTTGTACAAGCAACAGTTGTGTTAAATGTTAAACCAAGTCATAATACCTAAACCAGACCCTTTCTGCTCTCCACTGCCACTTCCACCACTCATGTTTCCCCACTAATGACTCTGATACTTGATCGCCTAAATTACTACGCCATAACAAAGATTAGGCGACTATTGCGAATGATTATGGAAGCTGAGAACAGAGTCACTTCCGGATTGAACTTAAAATCAACTAAATACCTCTCGTGGCCTTGTTCAAGACTTTGACTGGACTTGTTGGCTTCCTCAGCATCTCCACCGCTTCCTTCTCCTGCAACAGTATCCCATCAATCCCTGAGCCAAAATCCCGCCGTCAGTGTAGATATCCGGGTCGAACAAGTATGCCGACACATCACCCGCCCTGAACTTGGGAGACCTTGCCTTCATAGACTTCTTTAAACCCAAATTAACCGTATAGTACATAGATTATAGAACCATTCATACCACTGTAGCCACGAACCCAAAAATGCACACCAACATGGCTTTAATCGACATGTCTCACAGGGAACCATCGCATGCAATGGCTCCAACTTGGCATTTGCAACAGGAAAAGACTACTACACCTATACAAAACCTATAATTCATCCTCCCTCCATAACGTATGCTTTCACTTGCCTAGGACCGCCACCCACTCTGCTCGTCCCAACGCACAAATCCCCTGAGCGATCTCGCACAAGAACTCAGAGTTACGTACCTTGTCGAGCAACCTGGTGCGCCAGATCTTGAATTGTTCGCAGAGCGATCACGAGATAATGCAGCTGCTCCGATGAGGCTATGAGTTCCCCCGCCGCCGCTAATGAGAAATCGACGAATAAGAACAACTGTCGATGGCGATCGTAGGCGGATCAGGAGGAAATGGTATCGTTCTAAGCAGAACCTTTGATGAATTCTATTCTGGCGCCGATGAATTCCGGCACGCTAGAGAAGAAAATGGCGGTATCTGAATCTAGGGTTGGGGATTTTTTTTCGGGAGAACAAAGTAGTGAAGGAGAAGAGTGGGTTTTTGGCATTTGTCGGGAATTTATATTTTTGTTAATCCAAAATATTCAGCGGTCTCTAAACCCCCGAATCAGACTGCTGGCATAGGTAAAATCCGCACAGATGACGCAAGGGTTATGGTAACCGCTGGCAATAAAGCGGTGCCGTATGTCCATTTATTTGTAGTGTCATTCCCTCTTTCAAAATTCAGAACTCATACCCGCTCCATACCCATGCGGGGGAAGGATTCGCAAACCCATCTCCATACTTGTGTGTTTCGGGTACCCGTAATACCCGCCCCGTATATCCAACATTATAATACCTAAAATTTTACATGTAAAATTACAATTATAACACTAAACACACATACTATATCATGAAGTCGACAAATAAACAATCATTCTTAATACGATTCTAAGCATCTTATTCTAACATAATGTTGTTAACATGAGGGAAAAAGTAAAAGAATGAAGGGAGATTTGGGGAAAATGAATCATGTTCTGATTTGGGTGGTCACTCAATTGTATATCTACTATTTATTTTCATGAGTTACCCTCACTATTAATAATAGATTACAATTCAATCAATGTATTTTTTATTTGTGAAGAAATGCTCTTTGTGGGGCGTGTATGGGGTATGGGGCGGAGGAGGCTAAACCCATACCCGCCCCATACCCATCAAACTTTTTGCGGGTTTTACCCATACCCGCCCCATATCCATCATACTTTTTACGGGTTTTACCCATACCGAGTCAATGCGGGGATTTCCCGCGTTGACTGGATCAGGGGCGGTCGGATATCCACGGCCATGAGTTTGGTTGCCATCCCCAGTCATAGATAAATAGAATAAACAGATAGTCCGAACCAAATTTTGAGCCACTAAATTGACAGCCCTATTCATGTACTTGGAGGGAGTAAATGTACAAGAGAAGGAAGTAAAAAAGGACACGGCTAACCAAACTTCTTCAAGTATCACGCCGCAATGTCGTGAGCCACCACAGAGCAAAAAGTTCTGTTATAAATGGATTGGTAATACCCGAGCAATGTTTGCTAAAGACAAAATGTAGCTCCACATTCTCAGCAAAACCAACAAAGCCATGTATCCCACCAGAATTCGAATGCCAAGTGCAATAAAATCGTATGAGAATCATGTTGGATGGACAAGAACCGTCCTGCACAACCCGAGATGGCGCCCTCTGAATTGTAGCAGCATTCTTGGGCCGACAAGGATCTACTCTATTCAAAGACATGGGGGCTGAGACCCCATTCATCCGATTGCGCAAGGAGTTGGCAAAGTAACCCTCGTCCTCGATATTGATTGAGTTTATGAACCATCCACAACGATATTTCTAGAGGCGCTAATAAAGAAACACCACATTAGTGATATCAGATTTGGACAAATGACAATCGAAGAAGAACGCAATCCAAGATTGTGCAAGCTCGAGATTAGCTAGGCGAGCCCACAACCAATCCAGACCTACCAGTTCCCATAATTCATGGTCCATACGACATTGAAAGAAGGAGCACATGAATGTTTATGTACCTTCTAAGCACTCGGGGCAAATGCCATTGGTAACCAAGGTTTTGAACACCAAAACTGCTCGTACAAGGCTAAAGCCTCAAACCGTCCACAATTAGAAGAATTTATGATTTGGTGGGACACGCAAGTTCCATAAGCATTTCCAGAGCCGAATATTATAATGCAGTGGAGGTGGCAAATGTGAACGATTTAACTTGGTGGAAAAAAGTTGATCTGCATAGTGTACTTGCCCGTGTCAGAATAGTGCCAAATCCGCTTATCTAGAATATGTTGTGCATGAATGGGAATGCTCAAAATGAGAGCAATGCAACCCGAGATGGAAAGAGCTTGTAAAAGATCTTGTCTCCATGTATGCGGTAGTGAACAAATTAGGCTAGCAACAAAATGAAAAGGAAATTGAGTAACATTAGGGAGAATAGTTGGAGAAGAAGGAAGATCAGAGCGAAGCCATATTCACTTAGAATTCTGACCACATGGGCGCTGCTAATATGCCACCAAAGACCGCAAAGGGGAATTCCCGATCGACGAGCATACGTTGTCATGCCCACGATGGTCAAAAACCAGGCAAAGCCTCAAGGAGTGAACAAGAAGGGCAATATTATGCTTTTTAGGGGACCACCCAGATGGAATTCCAATTCTTAAGAAGTTGCCAAGTCGTCTTGGCTAGTAAAGCAATATTGGGCCTGTTGAAATCTCGAAAGCCAAGGCCACCGAAAAATTTTCTATTAAAAATTTCAGACTAGGCAGCCAGTGGATTTCATCTTCCGTATCTTTTTATGCCCACCATAACAAAAGGAAGGAGGAAAGCCGACATAGCATAAATGGAATAGGCAAAACTGATAGATTTAATTACGTTTATTTTTGCCTCTAGTGACATTACTTTAAAATTGAGGATCGAATCCAGGCAACAAGGCATTCTCCAACAAAGCGAAAAATTTGAGTTTTTGACCGCTTGTTATGCACGGGCAGCCCTAAGTATTTATTTTGGTCAGTCGTTTAAGCTATCCCTAAAAAGGCAGCAAGTTCCTAGTCATTCACATTAGTACTTACAAAATAAATACTTAGGGCTGCCCGTGCATAACAAGCTGTCAAAAACTCAAAATTTTCGCTTTGTTGGAGAAGGCCTTGTTGCTAAGCTATCCCTAAAAAGGCAGCAAGTTCCTAGTCATTCACATTAGTACTTACAAAATGAAGGATTTTTGCAGGTTAACCTTCTGACCACTCACATGCCCATATTCCTCAAGAATATGCAGACGGTTTTCACATTTTGGATTAGTGGCACAAAGGAAGAGGTAGCTATCGTCGCAAACATTAAATGAGAAGTAATAGGAGCACGACGGTGGACTCTTAGAACATGTAAAGAAATCATTTGAAAGTATTGAGAAAGAGTAGCCCTAAAAGCCCGAGTATAAATATCGAAAAAGTGAAGAGAGGGGGTTATTTTGTCAGATTCCTCGTTGAGGTGAGAAATACCCATAAGATCTGCTATTGATGAGCACCGTGAAGCTGATTATAGTGATACATGCTTAAATTCACCTAGTCCACTTCCGATAGAAACCCAAATCCTGCAAAATACCCAGGTGGAAAGGCCATTCAATGCAATCATATGCCTTCTCTATGTCAAGTTTGAAAGCCATCCATTTTCATGTCCATGAACTTTGGTTTTAAGAAATTGCATTACTTCATAATTGAACGCTTCCGGGCAAAACCATTATGATGGAGGCTTACGACATGAGGTAATATCACACTTAGCATGGATGTCATAATCTTAGCTATTACCTTGTAGATTACCTAACACAAACATATCAGATGCAGATGACGATCATTTCTACAATGGGTATCTTTGGCAACAAAGATATCCATGTTTGCTTATGATAACTCAATTAGCTTAGAAGAAATCCAAGGTAAATCCGTCATAACCAGGAGCTTGATAGCTCCCAATGCTAAAAATAGTATGTTTGATCTCAATGATAGTAGCAGGAGAAGTCAAAAAAGCATTCGTATAATGAGTGACTTTTATAGGTAACGCGAGACCTTGCAACAAGAAAGCGGGATTACAATTATTCGATGAATATCACATTTGGAAATAGGCAATTGCTACTCCTGCCATCTCGTCTTTTTCATGGTGCATGACACAAGATCGTCTCGAAGAGCCTCGAGTCGATTAACTCACCTTCTTTGCAAGGTGGTAAGGAGATTTCGTAGTCTAGTTGGGGGAGGCTCGTGCTTCTTTAGAGATGAGTGCGGACTCCAAGTTTCCTAGATCGATTTGTTTCATTTCTGATGATGATGAAGGTTTTGAGGTTGTTGTTGAATATAGTCATCTCCCTCACGTCTGTTCCAAATGTGAGGTGTTTAGGCACAATGGTGACAGTAATAAGCCTGATGGGAAGGTTGGGTGCCTAAGGGAAAGAATTCTAGAAGAGTAGTGGTGTATCTCGAGCTCAAAGGGATGCATGTAGCAAAGAAGAGGTAGGTGTTGTTTTGGTTTCCCGGAAGGAGAAGGAAGTGATGGAGTCGAGTTCCAATGTCGATATACGAAGTGGGAATGTGTTTGATGTTCTCTCGGATATTGTGGGGGAGTAGGAAATGGTGGATCTGTCCTCTTTAATATGGGCTGTGTTTATTTTTGGTGAAGTAGTTCGTGGGTCACCTAGTCAAATAGGGAGCTCACAACTGCCTTCGGCGCAGCCTGATCCTGGAGAGTCAGCAGTTGGTATGGTTGGGAACACCTTGGATCTGGTATCTTAGGCATTGTAGGATCCTCTAGAGCTCTCGCTTGATAAAGAGGGTCGTGGGGGTGGTCGTGGTAGAGGTAAGAAATGAATATGCTCGCTTGGAATATTAGAGGTTTTGTAGATGATAGAAAATTTACTACTTTACATAAAGCAGTTAGACAGATGATGTTGATATAGTAGCTATACTAAAACCCTGGATCAGAGTAAGCAAAGTTGATAAGTTGTTGCCAAGGAGATTTCCAGATTGGGAGTCCATGGTTAGTTATGATGGTCATGGTTTGGAGAAGATTGTGCGTCTATGGAAGAAGGAAGTAAGGATTTCATCGGTTCATATGGCTGATCAGTATATTCAAATTCTAGTGGATGGAGTAACTCCTTTTGTTGCTACGCTTGTTTATGCATCCAATGTGGATTCTGCTAGGCTATGTCTTTACAAGAATCTCCGAAGATGTAGGGTTTCTTTACTCTGGATCATACTCGGTGATTTCAATGCTGTCAGGCATCCTTCAGAAGCCTCTAACAATTTGGGGTTCACTAGTAGCATGTCTGAGTTCAACTCCTGGATACATGACTTGGATCTGGAGGAGCATAAGTCTGTGGGGCCCTGGTTCACATGGTTAAACAACCAGAAGAGTAATCATATAGATCAGATATTGGACAGGAGCTTTATTAATATTTCTTGGGTAAATAAGATGCCTAATAGTAGGGTGAGTCTATTGGATCCAGATGTTTGAGATCAATGTTCTATTCTGGTACAGACATCTGAGACGTTGAAGACTCTCCCTAAACCTTTTAAGTTCTTTAGATTTTGGATCACTAATCCAAAATATGAAGAACTGTTGAAGGCTGCGTGGGACACAAG